GCACAGCTGTAGCACGCCGGCAAACTTGAGTTTGAACGACGGCTCGCGCTCCGGCGCTCGCGCTGTGCAAGAGAGGGGTGTGATCAGCGCGTACACGAGCGTGATTGACACTGCTAAGACACTCCTCTCGGCTCTGATTGGTTGTTTCTGACCGGGAGCATGTATTTCTTGCAAATGGCAATAGGACTACTGGGAGAAGCCAGAGGAGCTTGATTTTTGCACAGATTATCTGTCTCATATTCTACTGTCGGGACATAATGACAGTTTTAGCAAATACATGTTTTCAAAAGTTACCTACAGGAGCTTTAAAAGCCAGTTGCGCTCACGCCATGGCAGATTCGCTAGTTACGTGACAGAATTTGCAAGCGGAAAGACTGAACGCTTCTTCAGAGAGGAAACGGAGTTAAAGCACACCAGCAGACCATCTACTGGACAAGCCGGATTCCACCATATCTTTATGTACACAATATGAATCTTTTACATCGTAATCCTTTTATATTTAATATTTGGCTAGCTTGTGTGCTGCTGGGAGTCTGTGTGTGTGTGTGTGTGTGTGTGTGTGTGTGTGTGTGTGTGTGTGTGTGTGTGTGTGTGTGTGTGTGTGTGTGTGTGTGTGTGTGTGTGTGTGTGTGTGTGTGTGTGTGTATGTGTGTGTGTAATAAGCAGAGTGTATGCGCGTTGTGCATCCGCCTATAGGTGCATATTACTAACGTGCCCTTTAAATAACATGTAAAATAATATTGCGTCATTGACTTCTGAGCAGGTTTCAGTTGGTCGACCAGCCTGAAACTATAATCTTCTAAAATTCATTCAGTTCCTTCCTTCCTTCCTTCCTTCCTTCCTTCCTTCCTTCCTTCCTTCCTTCCTTCCTTCCTTCCTTCCTTCCTTCCTTCCTTCCTTCCTTCCTTCCTTCCTTCCTTCCTTCCTTCCTTCCTTCCTTCCTTCCTTCCTTACTTCCTTCCTTCCTTCCTTCCTTCCTTCCTTCCTTACTTCCTTCCTTCCTTCCTAAATTATTCTTTAGAAAAGCAGAATCTAGAACTCTTCAAAACTTCTTCAATACTTTTCGTTTAGATTCTTTTTTTTAGAATGCAGTGAACATCACTTCCTAAAATGTAGAAACGTCTAGACAAAATCTTGCATTCTTCAATAATTTTCTCTTAGATTCTATTCTGAAATACATTGCATAAGTCTAGATTATAATTTACAATCTTCTAGATTAGGCATCATTCATTAAAAAAAGCTGAATGAGAAAATCATTCTCAAAACTTTTCTTGCATGAATAGTTGCACTGAATTGTGACAATTCAAATAACAATCATTTTACAAAAGGTTTAAACAGAAATTCTCCTTGTGTTTCAAGAGTAATGCCCTTATATTCTGTTCAAGAATTCATTATGTACCGTACTTCTTGTAAATGCATAATGAGACTTTAGATTATCCTGTGATGTTATAACCCTATGCAAGGAGAGAATGGAGTAACTTCTTAAACTCTCTAGACTCGAGGCTCTCTAGTAACATCAGTGATGTTGGGTTTGGTGTCTATTAGCTCAGAGAGAGAAAAGATAGTGGAGGATTCTGCTGAAAGAGAAAAGACGGTGAGGAATAGAAAGGGAGGAGTGATGTCATGTTGGAACAGGGAGACAGTGTGTGTAATGTGAGAGGAGAGGGTCAGGATTGCACTGTGTATGTGTGTGTGTGTGTGTGTGTTTGAGTGTGTCTGTATGCCCACCCCTCACCCTCCAGGGGTCTTATTATTCCCTCTGAAATGACAGCCTGTCATTAATACAAAATATATAGTACATCATTCACCCACGGTCACAGACATTCATGCACTTGTTGTACACCCACATGAGCAGTTTTTCTGGGAGTATGGAAAGTTTTTGTCTTTTCTGATAATTTGCTACTTTCATAACAGGTTTATTACTTTCTCTGTTGACACATTCTTTATTTCTCTCTCGCTGAGGAGCAGGTGAACGAGTTTGGCAGGGAACCTGTATAGCGTCTAAAGCGCCTTTCTTCCCGTTGGCCAGGTTGAGCTCTTAATTAAGGCTGTTTCCTGTTCGCTGAGTTTTAATGTGCAGCGGGACTGGCCCGTAGAGAGTTGACCCGCTCTCTGTTTCCCGCTCTCTGAATGGTGGCTCAGAGCTGAGCTGTAGCTGTTCTCCACCACAATAATGTAAATCCTTTTTTACCAACTAAATTCCCTTATATTTTATTATTACACTGAACCAAAAGGGAACAAACTCTGGCTGCATTCTAGTATGCATAAAGTAGGCAAAAACAGTATGTGAAATGAGTAGAGGATGTACAAATTCACGGTAATGTGCATCCAGTTGACACTTTACTATCCCATGAGGCCATGGGAGAGGAGTTGTGAATGGCAGTGAAGTGATGCTACTAACACTGGTAGTTCACATGACAATGGCAACATGGCAAATGTAGTATGTCCGGATCACATTACTTCACGCATTTAGACTACATAGAACATACTTTTTAATGGTTGTGAAATAAGTACTTATTCAAAAGTTAATTTAGAGAACCTTTGCAGTCTCTGTGTTTTGTGGCGGTTAATGAGTGCAGGTTTTCTATTATTAGCGGAATGCTAATGTTAGCATCGTTTTTTGCTTAAAATGCTAGAGTGAAGGAATAGTAAAACTTAAAATTAAACTTCTCTCATCTTATACTCACCTTCATGTCATTTATTTATACATACTTTTTTTGTGGAACACAAAAAGAGTAATTTTGCGGGATATCCAACAGTAGCTGTTCTTTTCCATACAATAAAAGTGAATGAGATTGGGTCTGTCAAGCACCAAGTATGACAAAAAAGTCCAGAAAAAGTAGCTCATATAACTTGTGAACTATTCCAGGTATTGTGAACCTGAATATAAGGTAACGCAAATTAGATTTGACAGCCGAGGGGGATATTTCTAGCAATTTCAGTTTGGGTCTGTTACTCACAAAGCTATTGGATGGTTCCTGAAAACTTTGTAATACAAATGTGAGGAAATGGATATTAATGGAAGTTTATTGTTTTGCTGTTATTTGTCGATTTTGGAGCTTCATTGTATGAAAAAGAGTTTCTTCCCACAATAATGCAAATGTGAGTTTCATTTAGGGGTGAACTATTCCTTTAAAAAATGAGCTGGGTGTGTATATGTGTGTTTTAGAGATGTGAGGTTGTTAAGCATGTGATGGATTGGAGTGTTAGACTCAAATGACAATATGTCAGAATGTTAATGACCGTATGTGCTTGTGTGTGTCTATACGTACACAGTAATCATGCAGTGTAAATGCTGCTATTTAGGCCGGATAAATACAGGTATTTGTTCAGGTGGGGACCCCCTCCTTTCCCTTTTAGCTGTCCGTCAGCCCTCCAATCAGACCCAAATAATGCTTGTCATCTGAGGCTAAAGGTTATTCAGACAAGCTGCGTTTCTCCACACTGTGGTGGTCCTACAGGACGGCATAATGGTGAAGTTAGTGAGTGCTATATCTGACACATTCTACCTAAGTATCAGTGTGGTCAGGGGAAGTGTAACGCTGGCAGCTTCATGCCAACCCGGAGAGGAAATTGTGCGGTTGGTGTGTTGATACTGCACATTGCGTGTCACACCAGAGGTTCTGGGAAGTGTATCGCCTGTATTAGAAAACATTTTATAGATGTTTATTGTATTACGCTATTCAACTCTCTCATGTGTTTGCAGACTTCACTAACTGTGAGAGAGATTTGTAATAGGCTGATACTCCTCTTAGCATCTTTTTGTATTCATCCATACCCACGTTTTTATCGAAGCACACAGACTTTGATCTGCTTTAAGGCAAGAGCCAGTAAACCTCCATTGAGAGCTTTCAGCAGAACGTCTCTTGCTGGGAAAGCCATTCTGCCTCTCTGTGCATGCCTGACTTTGTGTGATTACTTCTTAAAGAGATAGTTTGGCCAATATTTAAATTCTATTATTGGATCAATGACATGACGCTTAATTCTTTGTTCTATCTGTTATATAAAATAAAATAAACTGCAGAACCTCACGACCATTTACCAAGGTCAACGAGTCTCTTAAATATCAAATCAATAAATATCAGTCATTTTTTTATGACAAGGCACGATTATGTAAAGGAGTCATGTGGTGTGAGTCCCCATGCAAGCCACAGTGATAAAAATAAAATAAAAATAATAATTTTTTAAATATGTAGGTCTACACACACATATTCGAAGTATTAGGGAAATATTTTTTGCATAACATCACATTGCAATTTTATAGCCATTTTAGCAATTTTTAGGATGTAAACTTTTCTTGAAAATGGCATAAAAAAAAGTTTAAAAAACCGTATGAAACATGAATACAAAGAGAGTACACTGTAAAAAAAAGCTGCCTTTAATTTTTAAGTAGTATCAACTTCATCAAAGTCATTTCAACTTAAATCACATTAAACAGACTTTAAAAAGGAGTTGAATCTTGTATAACATAAATAAAGTTGAAAATTGCTTAACTTATTTTGATGAGTTAAATAAATGTAAAAACATATGTTGTCATAACTTATTGATCATATACATTTTTACAGTATTTTTAAAAACTTTTTTCAAAATATTCTTTTTTTAGTATTCATCATAGATACTTTTTTATAGATTAATTATATAAATGTTACACATGACATATTATATGGAAAAAGGCAATTTGGACATTCTGCTAAATATATCCTTATCTCATAAGAAAAAAAGCCTCATGGAACAACATGAGGATGAGTAAATATTAACAGAATTTTCAGTTTTCGGTGAACTATGCCTTTTAAGTAAGACAGAATGAGGCACTGGATATTCTTAGGAACTATGACAAACCGCAACGAGAACTGAATTTACTGATCGTATGATACCAATTCCAAATAACTGCAAATGTGTAGTGTTTGTGATGTCAGTTTCCTCAGAAGTTTCATCTGAGGAAACGGGTTAATCTCCCTTTTCCTTAATTTTTCTTTCTCTTCTGGTTCTGTGTTTTTTAGGCCAGTGCCTGGTTCCCTTTCCTCTTTGCTGCACCTGAGGAACAGACAGCGACAGCCACTGCCGGCCTCCATGCCTGGCACACTGCCTGACCCCACTATGCAAGGATCGTCTGCTGTTCTGATGCCTGTGAGATCATAAATACAGCCACAAACACACACAATGCATTTGCACTTCCCAGTCGTGGTTTTCTGATGCCTCTGACAACCGAAACGCATTAATACGCACACAAACTAATCTTTCATGCACCATTCTCATGCTTTTCTCAGCAGTCTGCTTTAAATTAATGCCTTTTCCAGTGCCGTGGCCCATATCAGTGGCTGTTTTATCAGGAAGCCCATCAGCAGAGGTGTAATTTTCTACCAAAGCTCGATCTGTTTTAATTCTATTTCAGAAAAGTCAATAGGAACCTGAATGCAGGCTGAGGTAGGAGTGTGTGTGTGTGTGTGTGTGTGTGTGTGTGTGTGTGTGTGTGTGTGTGTGTGTGTGTGTGTGTGTGTGTGTGTGTGTGTGTGTGTGTGTGTGTGTGTGTGTGTGTGTGCGAGCCGCCCATATCAGGGTTCTAATGACACAACACATGTTCTCATTGTAACATAAGCCAGTCCATGTTGGCTATAGAGGTAAAAGCAGTTGATTAAATTAAAGTAGGACTTTTTTTTTTTTCTCGATTGACATCCCAAGAAAGGGGTGCAGGGTGGGGTGATATTTTTAAACCAAATATTCCTCGAATAATTACAGCGGACTGCTACGCTTTCACCCTGCAATAGGTCATCAGGGGGTTGGAAAGGGGGGGTCGGATCTTGGGTTTTAGTAACAGGACCCCCAGTCTCTCAATCTCTCTCTCTATCACACACACACACACACACACACACACACATTGAAAGTACCATTTTACAGTTTCCCTCACCTTAAACTGAACGTAAATCACCAGCGCACTCTTTGTATGAGTGCAAACATCTAAAACCTCCATTTCAGCCTTTTAGTCGCATTTAATTGAGACTTTCTGAATTAAGATATTCTGTCATGCTCACAGAACTGAGCTTTGGTTGAGTTTGTGGTCTTGTTAATATTGCTATTTTAGCCTTCACACCTCTGCAGTATTCAGCTTCCTCTCTTAGCTTTTCTTTGACTGCTGCTTTTCCCACAGAGTTGCGGAATATTTATAGAAACACACATTAAACCACATGCACATATTTACGTAGCTATCTAAATGTGATGTTCGGCCATGGACTTTTACATATAAAGCTTTTTTTAAATACTAAAGTGTGACCCTGAACCTAAAATAACTTATAAATAAATCAAAACTGTTTAGATTATAAATTAATGTTAATTTATAACTTTAGTGTTACTGGAATTAAGAACATGTACATTAAAATATTTTTACCCACTTTACCCTTTGATGAAGGTCAAAGCTACTTTTACTTTTTTACTATTACATATTGACAAAATTATTCTAAACCATACAAAAACGTATACATAAATACAAATTAATTTATTGATAATATTTAATAATAAATACTACTATGATAAAGAAATATTAACTAGTATGTTTTGTGTTTTTAGACTAAAACATGAACAATTATAAACCAAATTTCTCCATGATGTTCCCAAGAGAAGATTTAGTCATTTAACTAGACAGACTAGTAAGACTGAACTCTGTAAAAAAATATATGATCAATAAGTTATGACAGCATATGTTTTTGCATTGCTTTAACTTATCAAAATAAGTTAAGCAATTTTTTACTTGTTTATATTATACAAGATTAAACTCATTTTTAAGTCAGTTTAATGTAATTTAAGTTGAAATGACTTAAACATCCAAGTTGATTGTACTTAAAAATTTAAGGCATGCATTTATTACATTGTAATTGTAGTAATGCTTTTCAGTAATTTTGTCCCCAAAGTAATGTAAAAGATTTACACACTTACATTGTAGCTTGCTGTGAAATTGCTTTGTTTTTGAAAATTTAATTTTGTATTCAATTAGTTTCATGCATTGATGTGTTTGGTTCTAAAGGATTATATTCACATTTGTGGGTACAGATGGAGAGGCAAATGTCTATGGGCTCCAACATGATGGGCATGCAAGGCCCCGCCCACAACAGCTCATGCTCCTCCCCTCATGTTCCATCCATGCACTCAGAAGCAAAGCTGGTGAGTCAGTCATCAACACACACACACACATACTTGCATATTTTCTTGCTTGCCTGTCCTGTGTAATTTGATTTGGATTTTTTTTCTATCTTCTGTTCTATCTTCTTATTGTTATGGAAATAGTCACCCGTATAAGATACACAACACAAGCATGAGCATAAGAAAACTTCTTTCTTTCTGTTGCTCATATACACGCAGCCACACACACACGTCTGTCTCTCTTTTACTGCAATGTATGCCAGTTTGTCTGATGTATATCTTGATGCCATGAACATACACTTGTGCCTCTGCTGCTTGTTAGCACTAGTTCGGCATGGTGGTGATCTCATCAGAAACAAAGCAGTCAGTCAGAGCTCATGGAGACAGAGAGAACGAGAAAAATAGAAAGAAACAGACTGGTGGAGAAAGCCTAGAAATTGAAAGAATTTTTTTTTTTTTTTTTTTCACATTTCATCAATTTGTCCAAACTGATTTATAGTTATCTAGTAGCTACATGAATGTACAAAACTGTAACAAACATATCTCATTATTTGATATAGTGTTAATATACGAAATTGCTCAAATTGTTTTGGAACTTTATACTGACCACAGATACTATACATAGATGGCTCATTAGCGGCTGTTTCAATGGGACGCCATGCGTAAGTCATCCGCCATATTAGAATGGTCAATGCCGGTCCGTAAACACCCGAGAGCAAGTTGACGGTACGTCTGCAACCGTAGTTATACATATGTATAAATATCTATATCTGCGATAGACTTCAGCAGATTATTTTTGTAGGATTTAGTTTATCACTATTAGATAGGTTCATCAACTGTCTGGTTACCGACATTCAAAATATCTTCCTTTCTGTTCAGAAGAAGAAATGTCGAATGTGGCATCTACATATACATAACTATGATACTGACAACTTCCTTTAGCCCTGTTTACACATGGTATTAAGATGCGTTTTGGACGATCGGATCACAAGTAGGCGAGGGAGACATTCATGTTTACACCTGGCATTTTAATCTCTTTTGTCCACTTTTGAAACACTTCTGTCCTGATTTCTTTAAGGGGAGGGTCTATGGGCGGATAAAGTATGTTGTTTTTTTCAGATCCTTCAATCTAATGGACAAAATAAGCTTGTTCAATTTACATACGCGCCCGGAAATGATGGAAAATCATACAGAGAGCAGCAGCTTTCATTTCTGCTCTGACAGCCGCAAGACCACGCTGAGTGTTAGAAATCAGGAATGGTGAGAGAACATTGTGCTTTGTATGTTTTTCGTCTTCAAACTTAGGTCTCCAGCCGATAAAGTTTAAATCCCGTCTGGCTAGCACGCTTCCCATAATGTTTACGCGTGAGGTCAGTAGGCAGAGAGTAGGCGGTCTTTTGCGGCCGGTCAAAGGCATTTTCCACTACCTCTGGAAGTTTTTGAAAGTGGACAATATCAAAGCGTTTTAGACCCTGTTTACAATCAAGCGTAGCGTTAGTTCTGGCAGGTCATGTTAGTCAAGCTCGCATCAGCTGATCCAAGTATTATCAGCAGCTATCGCGTTTCTCAGGAGCTCATTACCCTCCTCCATCCCCAGCTCCACCTCTCATCCAGTCAGGATTTGGCATTCTGATTCCTCTTGAATTATGTTGTACATTAAAATAGTGACATTACTGATATCCGCATTACATTTATGTTGGTTCTGTTCTGTTTACCCTAAGGGCCCGTCCACACTACTGCGTTTTCGTTTAAAAACGGAGAATTAAAACGAATACGATCTCCGTCCACACCAGCGTTTTATCTGTGTATTAGAATTGATCTCCGTCCACATTAAAACGCCTGAAAACGCGGATCGCGTGACCATTCACCAACACTGGGCATGCGCGTGCTGGTGTAAACAGGAAACGGATTGACATGTGATGGGTGGCTGACGAATCAGGGAAGGATACGGCATGACTGATGACACCCAATCATAGAGCCGAGCGTGAGCCTCTGCGTCATCGTTTCTAAAGTCCTCCGTTTTGTCCTGTCTTCACTAAAACGCCCTCCGGAGATTCAAAACGCAAAACGGAGCTGCAGCGTTTCTAAACTTCTCCGTTTTAGGTTTTCGTTTTTTCCGTTTTAGTCTGGACGGGAGGTGCAAACGTAGCAAAAGGTCTCCGTTTTTAAACGAAAATGCAGTAGTGTGGACGGGGCCTAAGGGGGGTTATTGCTGCTCTCCCTGCTCTTATCCATGCTAGGCCAGAACAGAACCATACCGCCAATCCAAACTATATGCTAATTGTCAATCGTCTTTTACGATAGTGGTCCTGACAGAACCTATATTTAGCGTCATCCACTTGTGATCCGATCTACCAAAACGCATCTTAACACCAGGTGTAAACAGGGCCTTAAAACAGAGAAAGCCACATGAACAAAGTTCAACACAAGTCCCTTTCACACAAGCTGAAGGAAATACTAATACATAGAGACGGCAGTGTCATACACACCATCAGTAAAATAATGCAAGAAGCATTCATTTAATAACAAGCTGAAACATAAAACTTACAGTTTGCTGTAGCATTTTTAGTCTTTTACCATAACAATGAATGGTAAGGGTTTTTACAGTGTGCAGAACCGATCTGATCTTTCAAGATGCAAACAGGCCTATAGAAGTATCATAAATGTAGTTTAAATGATTTATGCAATATATTCCAAGTCGTCTGAAACTTTTATTTATGTTTTGAATAGACTAAAATTGTAACTGTTATTGGGTGAAAATAATCCAAACAGCTAATTTGTGTTTATGTACATTCAAATCAAATTAGACTTTTTTGTCCCATGTAAGAAAATCATGCAGGATTGGAACTGCTTAGGGATGAGTAAATGATGACTGTGGACTATTCCAGGACGGTTACATCCGTCTGCCTGGATTTGTACAGTTACCGTAGATCCCGTTTCAGTATGTGGCTGCTCACACGTTTTATTTGAGCTTCATAGCGGTGGCAAGGGGATCAGCAAGACAGATTTGGTAATTAGATTAAAATCCACTAATTATGCATGTAATAATCCGGTTTTTGTGGATTTGGAATTGGACTCAGGAGGGAGTTAATTATTTTGCTCTGAGAAAAAGGGGAGCGCAGACATTTCTAGAAAGGAGATGAATAGAGAAAAACAATACAAGATAAAAGACAGAAAAGGAGGGAGAGTGTCTCTATGTCAAAGCATGAGTGATGATTCTGATGGTGGAAAGAGCGTTCGAAGAGCACTTAACTCTCTCTCCTTCCCTCTGTCCCGCTGGAGATTGATCGCCGTGTGCATTTTTTTAATCCTTTCGTTTGTTGCCATGGGAACGGGCAGGGGGAGCATAATATTACTTTAATGTGCAGTCGTATCTGTCCCCTGGCTGGACTCCAGGCACATCCCCCCTCCATGTCTCTCTCTCGGCCCTGATTGTAATTGAATTATAAATTCCTTTTTTTCTCTCTCTTTTGCTCCGACACACGAAACCATTTGTTTTAAGTTTTCAAACGCCACTAAAACAATCATATTGGAAGAATTAAACATGGGTCATTCTGCCTTTGAATGCTGGATAATGAAATTATCTGTAAGAATGTAAATATATATATATATTAAAATGGATGAAATTTTAAAGTGATGAAAAGAACAGCTGCCAACATCTAGTGTTTATCAGTCAAAAATATGATTAGTATTATACTGAGGCTATAATATATTATATAACAATATTTATTAATTTAATTATTATTAATTATATAAATGATTATGATTAATTCATATTAATGATATCAATTATATATTAAATACTAATTGTCAAACATTAATAAAACATCATTTCTGATTAATGGTAAAACATACAAACAAAAACAAATTATTTTTATGTTTGGTAACAATATTTATTAATTGGATTATTATTGATTATTATTAATGATATCAATTATATATTAAATAATAATGATCAAACATGAAAAATGTACTTGGAAAAACAATGTGTACTGTATGTACAGTCTTATTAAATTACTTATGATTTTATATATATATATATATATATATATATATATATATATATATGATACATTAACTTGAAAAACATTTTGTTTCTCTGTTTGGTAATATAAAAATTGAAAAAAGATTACATTTTTAAAAATATATAACTCAAGAATAATAATTCAAGATTCTCTGAAAAGAAGTCTTAATATTTTCCACAATTCTGATTCTTTTGTTTGTATGATTGTTAGATATTTTATGATATAACAGCACAAAGATTTCTTCCAGTGCAAGATCTTTTTTTAATTCCTTTCTTGTAGTTATTACTATGGCATTGGCGCCTATGCAGCTGGGATAATGGTAACCGTTGCTGTCAGGTGACCTGTTCTGGGGTGATCGGAGCCATGTGTCCCCCACATGGCCTGGCCCGGCCCAGCACAACCTCAGTGTGGAGATCCAACCCTAATCTCATTAAACAGAGATGTCGACTTATTCCAAATGGGAAATATCTCCCCCAACTGTAACCTCATACCCAACCCTCGGCCACAAGAGAGAGAGAGAGAGAGAGAGAGAGAGGGAGAGAGAGGGGGGCGAACTAGAGAACATGAAGAAAGCGAGAGACAGAGGAAAGTGAAAGACTGTGTATGTGAGAAAGACAGGGAGAGAGTGTGTGAGAAGATAGTATGTTAGATGGTGGATCAGTGTGCAGATGTGTGCGTGTGTGTCGGTGCTCTTTGGCCGATGAAGCCAAATTGATTTTGTGGTGGGCCAGGGGGTCTCCGGTGGAAAAAAAAACCTGCTAAAAGTGCTTTAGTTCCCACGGGACCGCTGTCCGATCGCCTCTCACACACACACACACACAGCGCTGGCATGGCAGAGTGCCTTGCTGTCTTCGTTCTCTGTGGTTAAGGTGTCATTTATCTCAGGCCAGATGTGGATGAGCAGGCTCGTGTTTGTGGCTGTTTTGCTCTTGGGCTGAGCAGCAGAATATTTATTATTAATGAAGCCCCTGATTATACGTTTCAGATATCCAGTTG